AAAACCTTGCCACACAAACCCAACACAATGAAATACGTTTGATAACACAAACTAATAACAATTAAACCCCAGCAACAACACGGAGGTAGCCTTTGCAATAAAGATAAGCATTTCGTCACTGTTGACCAGCTAACTTGATGCTTTTATGTGGGCACTGCCCTGATCGTCACACAGAGTCCTTAAGTTTCTCACAAAGAGCACAGTGGAGGCAAAGGACTGCTTCTGCGCGTAGGCTGAAGGTTGAGTGTAACTTTTAGGTTGGCTGGTCACCCTTATGCTCTGTAGTGCGGAGACAGGCAAATCCCATGGTGATTGAAAAATCCTCCAAGGACAGGTAAGTCACTGACAAGTCATTTAGGAAGGGAGGAACACATGGTGGGGGAAGTTAAAACTAGGTCAACTTAGCACAGTACTAAGACTAGTGACAAATCCGCCAAAGGTTTAGGGCCAAGCAAACCCTGAAACATTGCTGGGAACGTTGCCAGAGTGGGGCAATGAGAAAGGTAAAATAAGCATTCAGCTTTACTTAGGTTATTTAAATTGCCAGTAAAGCACCTGGAGCCAGCAAAGCACCTGGAGCCAGCAAAGCAAAGCATGTTAAATCTTAAAATTTAGTGGTCTTTTAACAGAAATCATTCTGGAAAGAAGCTAATGAAACCTTATAGGTCCACCAGAATCTTTCTGACTGAATTCAGGCAAGTACCCATTTTTAAGTCTGCTGGTTGCCAAGGTTAATTGGCAGCTTAATTCATTCTGTTTCCAAAGACTAAAGAACACAGTTCTTTATGTTAAGGTATTCCCTTATTATTGATATACAAGCTTTCTTTGTAGCTTATTACTACATATAAATTTGATGTCTACAGGTATCCAACCCAAACAAGGCATTTATAAAAGCAGTTGTCAGAGATGGGATATGGGTTTTCAAAGCCCATTTTAGTGAAGGTGGCTCTAAGAATTACTGCTGTTGAAAGGGTTCAACAGGAAAAGCTCAAGTTAACTACACACAAAAATTTAACGTTTGTCCTCGAGTAGCTCACTGCATCTGCTTCTAACACAAGTCTGTATCCACCCAAAAAGTCCTGCAATGCCCAATTACATTAGACAATTACAAGGTATATTAAAAATTCCAAAGCCTTTATTTGTAGTTTAACACATTACAGTATTTACTGTTCAGAATAATGTACCCAGTAAGTCTGCAATAACTGACTTTTAACTTTGTTGCCAGAGTTTTACCTGAAGGTCTCTTAAACCTCTCTTTCAGAAAAATTTATCCTAGTCTTTGAAGGGAGTAGTAAGAACTCGGACAGAAACAAGACTAGAAGATTGCTAACTTCCACATTTGGTCAAGGTCCAAAGTGGCAAAGTTCAGGAGTACGTATAGAGCAAACAACAGAACTATAGCAGATCATTAGATACTGCTTACAACTAACATTGTAATATTGTAGTCTCTTGCTTGTAGTGGTGGCTAGCATAGTTGTACATACACAATAATCCCCGTCTTTCAGAAAGGCTAGCATGTCAAATACACCGTGAAATCTAGGAAAACTCTTCTGTAAGCCCCAGCAGGATGTACCATTACCACCAGTTGTATACAAGATGACCCTAAAATGAAACCTACTTGATTTCAGACATATATCTTAAAATTTCTCTGGTCTGCAATAGCAGACAATTGCTATATGGAGAATTCAGTTCTGGGTTTCAGTAGTCACTTAGGGAGGAACAAGAGGCCTAAACTCAGCTACAGAAAAAAATTAGCAGTAAGATCAGATATTAAAATTAGGCAATCCTCAGATTCAATTAGCAGTTACAATATAGAATGTACCCTCACCCTCACCCCCACCCCAAACTACTGCAACACCAGAGACAAGCCACCTCCTTACTCTTGTATTTCTTGCTCATTTATTTCACTTTTCCACTTGGTAGAACACCTCAGCATGAGCATGATGTTGTGCAAGGCTCTCCAGAGACAAGTCACTGTATGTAGCCTATTATTCCGGATTGCTTAAGAGTTCACTTGACACATTTCGAAAGATTTTAGAATATGCATCTAACAGCAGCTGCCATTTTCTTAAACTTCATAAAGAATTGTTTAAAGCTGTATTTACACCTACATGCCACATTGCAGCAAAGTAAGGCAAGGAATGCACTTAGCAGTGAACTACCAGCGTGCTAGAAGCCAAAAAACCTAACTCTGACAGAGTGTTATCAGTGTTCTACTAAGTTTTCTGGTGAAAGTATGAAGATTAACTGTAAGGAAAAATGTTCCCATTGGCACAACCAGTGTAGGACTAAAAGAAAAGATAAGAAAAGAAAAGAAAGAAGAAACCCATGATCCACCCAAAAAAAACCCCCAAAAACACCCAAGACAAAAAAAACCCCAGCAGCAGGTCTGCTTGTCCTTTAAAGGCCAGAAACAGGCTGGCCCTTCCTGCTTGTGGCAGGAT